TTTCCTTCTTTTTCCCTTTTTTCATTTTTTTAAACATTTATAAACAGTAACAAATACTAATACAGTGGAGACTTTAGTATTGAGCATCAAGCTCAAGATGGAAATGTTTTTTGTATTACAGAATAATTTGATGCATTTTGCAATTGTCTGCCAGCTTTACCTGTACAGCTCAAACAATCTTATATTTATTCACATTTTAGAAATTATATTCAACATGGATATAAACTTTTTTTCTTTTTCTTCTCTTTAAAGGTTCAACTTATCTGAACTATCCTAGTGTGCAATATTTTAATGAAGTATTTGCATCTTGTAATGAAATAAAGCAATTACTTGGGGGGGGGGAACCTCAAGAGGGTGGCCATTGAAGCCCTGCCTTTTGGGTTTCTTGAGGTTTCGATTGTAGATTGTTGTGGACACCATCTTGACTTTTATGACCCCTTCTGCAGAGTTCCCAGCTTCTGGGGTTCCAGATCTGCATGCACTCAAGTCATTCCAATTTTGTGTTATCCACAGGGCCCCCAGTGCTGCATTGGTGACCCTCTCCCTCCACACACAGCATAGCGTTGTTATTCCAATGGCAACATCTGCATGGAGAAAAAAAGATCAGAAAGTTGGCTATCTCACCAACCCTGGTTCCTCTCCGACTCCGACCAGTGTGCCATTGGGCAAAAAAAAGTATGCCTTAATCAGTGCCAAATTTAAAGGTGAGTTAGATGCCACGGGAAAAGAACAATGCCCAGAAACAGGAGGGTTCCCAATGATAAGGGAAGGAGCATCTCTTAGCTTCTTGATGTCTCCACAAATGGAGAATTAGCAGCCTGCGGCCACTGGATCCAGTCTAGCCCATTGCTTTATTTGGGAACCCACCTCATCTGCCCAGCTCAGAATTATGGGATGGAACTACTAGCAAACCTAGAATAGGAAAAGCCTTTATCTTTATCTTCTGGAAAGCATACCATAATGTTGCTGAAATTGGGCCTATAGGAAAAGGGAGATGTTCACTAGAGAACCTGGATGACCAGATGATTGATGCTCCCCAAGAAGAATAGCCAGATCAAGGTCTGTTGCTTTCTGCCAAGACTTTGAGGGTGACTCCACCTGTCATGTGTCTCTAGAACAGCCTTCAGGTTCTCTACTTTTGAGTTCCATTTTCAGCTGTTTTGATCCCATTTTAGGTCCAGGACCTGGGAAATATAACCGACACCCTTGCACTGGTATCAAGAACCACGACTTCACCAAGTTTACCGAGCCAGCTTATACCATCCGTGTGAAATCCAGCCCAAAAAGTAAGCAGGAAAAAGAATTCTGGACTCTGAAGAAACATGTAAAAGATCCTTATCAGTTCATACTAATCATGAATGCATGTAATCTAATCACCAAACTAAGTTGGCTAAGTAAACTTTATCTGTACCATGCAGTTTGTGTTCCTGAGACCCACCATGTTTCCAGGGCCAAAATGAACAGAACGAAGGAGATCTGTGATGGAATGAATCTCTTTCTTCTTCTTTTTTTTAAATTGTGGTGCAACTGTGGAGAGGCTCCATTTGAACAGGAGTGATGGCAAAGGGCATAATCTAAATGCTGTTATTCTCACCTTCATAGCAGAAATCAAAATACGGGCTTTGGGATTGAAAAGACCCAATCCAGAAGCAAATAAACCATGTTAAACATGCCATTATATATATTTCAAGAAAAAGAATCCCCAACTAATCCAGAATGAAATCAGGTCAATGACACAATTCACTGTTCTACTAGACTCTTTTCAATGCTTTAGAGGAAATGAGGTCTTAATGACGCAGTGGAGAGCCATCAGTGAAGGACTCAGGTGGGACTTCTTGAGAAGATATCCGCAGTGTAATGAGGCTATGACTGAAGTGGCCTTATTCATAACCAAATCTCATACGGCTGAAAACCTGGAGAAAAGCCTCTGGGGTTCATCTAAGTGAGGCATGAGCCATCTGTGGCCCCTCTACATGTTGAACTTTAGTTCTCATCAACTCTCCCTAGCTTGACTAATGCTAATGGCTGGTGGGAGTTGCAGTCCATCAACATTTGGTAGACCCTGATCAGAGTAATCAGATACATATGGGTGAAAGCAGTCCATATTCATTTAAACAGAACTTTCAGTTGGACTAAGATGGCATAATATTGAAGTGATATGTTCCATATGTTTTGTGTGACCAGCAACGGCTATTTTCCCAAAGCCTTGCAAAAAAAAAAGAGCCCTGCTGAGAGTTTATTGCAGCAAATTCTCAAAAGGGCTTGATTCTCCTCACTAAAGATTGACAAAGAGGTTGGATGGCCACTGCTGGGAACTGAGTGGATTTAGTAGATTCCTTTCCGGAGCAGATGACTCCTGAAGGGCCCTGTTGATTCATTCGTTCCATGAGTCTGTGGTTTTATGACCATGGCCCAATTAGAAGTTAATTACCTCCTGAAAGACTGTGGCCAGATTATCTGGCAAGAGGCACTTCTTGCCACCCCAAGCATTTTGGTAGCTAGATATGTGGATGGTCATTAGAGGAAGATGAAGAAAGCCAGAAAGCCAGGGTTGGCTTCACAGAGACAATTCTTCTTTCCCTTGCAAGCAATCATGGTGCTGGAGAGCCCTGGACCTTGTTACTACGTGGATCCCAGCCTTTCCCGTTTAGGAATATGGAGGCCAGTATCATTCTTCATGCAACAGCGAGGAAAGAGTACAGGTAAGTCACAAGTTGTAGATACTTACATTGGGGTGACTGGTGGATGGGATGGAGCATATGGGGAGGAAAAGGTCCCTGGGGATTAAATGAAGCTTTTCCCAGTCAATGTCAAAGGGTGGCACCTTGGTAGCCCCTCTTGGAAATCATGGATGTGATGAAAAGATATTTAATTCATTGTGATGGCACTCTCCAAGAGTTCTGAAAAAGCTTAGGAATGCCAAGTCCAACCTCAGCCAAGATGGAGAATCATGTACAGGTAGACCTCGACTTACAATCATTCATTTAATGGCTGTTTGAAGTTATGATGGCACTGAAAAAAGTAACTTATGACCAGCCCTCACACAGCCATCGCAGTGTCCCCTCAGTCACAGTCATTATCAAAATTCAGGTATTTGGCAACTGGCATGTATGTATGATGGTTGCAGCATCCTGGGGTCATGTGATCACCATTTGCAACCTTCCCAGGGGGCTT